TGTGTGTGTGTGTGTGTGTGTGTGTGTGTGTGTGACAGAAAGAGCAAAAATAGTGTTGTGTGTCTACAGTGGTGTGAAAAAGTGTTTGCCTCCTTCCTGATTTCCTTTGTTTTTGTATGTTCAACACACTTAAATGTTTTAGATCATCAAACAAACTTAAATATTAAACAAAGATGGCACAAATAAACACAAAATGCAGTTTCCAAATGAAGGTGTTTATTATTAAGGGGAAACAAGATCCAGACCTACATGGCCTTGTGACTCGTTTATGCAGAATTGTTGTAATTAGCCACATTGGAGGGTTTCGAGCAGGAATCGCCTTTTTAATTTCGTGACACAGCATCTCAGTCAGTTTCAGGTCAGGACTTAGTCAAAGTCCTGACCTGAATGAAGACATTTTTTTTTAAGCCATTCAGAGCTGGACTTGCTGGTGCGTTTTGGATCATTGTCCTGCTGCAGAACCCAAGTGTGCAAGAAATTGAACTCAAAAACCACAAAAACCACATTTAATTTATGCTATATGGGGGACCACTTTACACAGGGCCATGTAGATTTGTATATAAATAATAAATAAAAAAAAAACTATAAGCCTACAATATTCCAGAATTTTACAATTTTACCAATTAGTGATAACAGTCCTAATAGTTTTTAAAAGGATTTAAAGACTATTACCGCTTATATATTGAAAGTATGCAGTAATATTATAGTATGCGTTTATGGTACGCTATATATAAGTCCACTGGAAACAACCTGTAGTTAGTTTCTCTCTTTTGCTGCTTACCAACTTACTGTTGTCTTTACATTACTTTGGCAAACGTAGATGAAGAAGACGGTGTGAGTTTGTAGCATGAGATTAAACACATGTAGGTCTAAAAGTTTCCAAAGCTTTGACTGCAGTTACTGCCCACATTGCTCAAAAGCGTCAATATTACTGATTGTTGCTATCTGATATTATTTTTGCACTTACAGTGTGTGTGTGTCTGTGCCAGTAAAAGTACCAGACTGAGAGAGTGCACAACAATGTGTTTGCTGTTGGTCAGTGGACCAATCATGTTTTGTTGATGTCATAGATTTGCGAGGTGGGGGAAATAGAACAAAAGTGCTCTTGTTTATGTAAAACTCGCTTCTGGAGCAAGTGGTAAGCATTTTAAGTGTTTTATTTATTCATTTAAACAGTATAATAAATATATTATCGTGTTTCCTATTGGCTAAATTAGGTCACTTGATGTTTGTTGATGTTGGTTTGATCCTTTTTATTATGATGATGCAGGAACGACAGCCTGTTTTAGCCTTGGAAGATGTAACTAGGTTGCTAGGCAGATTTTGCCAGCTAGCTACTCCTTTTCTTACTTTTGTGTGTGATCCAAGAGGTTGCGTTTTCATTTGTTTGCTGTGTTTTTGCACATCTTTATTAGTACCAATCCAACTCCACAACGCAACAAACCCCGCCTACGAGCGTGTTACACTCAGATTCGCATTACTGGTGTTTGTGTGACAGTTTAAGTTTCATTTTCTTTTCTACGGAAAAGGCAGTGGCTCTTTCATTTGCGGTGTGTCCTGAGCTGCAGCTGCTGGTACCATCTACTTACAGGAGTTATGTTCTCATCTGCTAAAGAAAAAAACATGTAAGTTTGCAACTTTTAGTATTACAAAGTTTGATAGTTAATATGACAAG